AAATTGTGTGTTTATTCTCAAATGGCGCTCAAGTCAAGTTCTAACCTGGTTTGGATAGCTGAATACTTTGTCTTTCAAGAAAAAGTATCGATAAGTATTGGTTCTTCTTTACGCGCGAATGCAAATTACGTTTAGATTACTTTTTGGTTTTCGGTGACATTTGCTCTTAAGTCGATATTCCTTGATTACCCACCAATGCTGGCAGAAGGGAAGTAAAACATTCCCAAACAGGTCAGTTACAAGCGGTCTCACTTTGCTGCAGACTATGGCTTCCCGTAAAATTGCAGCCCATCCACCAAAATTGCAACCCACGGCTTCGTTTCGCGTAAAGAAATTAGAACGTCCCTAAATTTTTTCAAGGCCCATTAAAATTTTCACGAGAGATATGGTACATTGAAACTGATCAAAGCATGAAGAAGGCAACAAAACCTGACATACATATCAAAAGCAAAAGCTCATATTCGTGCACATTTTGCTGTCATTCTGAACATTTAATATCATGCATAATGCTTCCTTGAGGCCCTCTTTGTAGCTAAGGCAACACAGTCCCTGTGAAGGATTAAAAATTGCCAATTGGCAATAATTGATAAACATAGACAACCCCACCAAGATTCAGGTCTGTGTGGTTTTTCATACACACGTTATTTGGAAAAAAAATGTTTCACACAAATTCATAGAGCTTTTGAATGGAGAGGCCATGTTGGTTTCTCTAAAGGGGCACCAATATATGGTGGCCACAACGTAACAGAACATCTCTCACTGAGTTTTGCTATTAAACAAAAAATTTCATTCTGGAGCTCCGACACATTGAAATTGATACTTTGTCTAATGCAAGGACTGTTCATCCATTGACCAAAAACTTAAACGATAAGTCATCTTTAGACCTACGAGACAGCCTCTTGGGCTGCCATTTTAATGCGACAGAATGCAAAAGCTTGGAAATTCAAACGTGATCTTTTGCAAAACGAAGACCCTTGTTACGCTGTAGCTTTGTAAAGCATCAAGCTCTTAGAGAGTCTTTAGTATATCTTATAAAATTAAAACCTCAGTCTGATAAGCATACACTAGGTAATTTTTTAGTTCTGGAATATGACAATGTCACATGAAAATTAAGAAGCTATAAATCTTCGCCAACAACAGTGTAAGGTCACGACAGTTGTTTAGTTTATGACAGTAACCCTTGCCATTCTATCCCCCTGAAGTCACCGTGCCAAGCAATTGTCATTAAATTACTAAACTGGACTCCAACCTTACCATTCCATTTTGTTAGCCACATGACTTGTTGTATGAATACAGACTACATTTGATACCACTCTGCAGCCTCAAAATATTGTTCTTTGTAAACACTCAATTACATTTAACCGGGCCGCACTACTTGCTTACAGTTCTCTTACCATCAGTTTTCCATTCAGATAGTTCATCCAGCTTGGTTTTCTCGAGAGCAGAAGGAAGCACTATACTCTTAACCAAAGCCTCCATTTTAGCAAAGCATTCCTCAAAGAAAGTTTTATTCCAGTCACGAGGGTTAAAATGCGCTGTCTTGTTTCTAACATTGTTCTTGACATCGTCAGCAATTGATTGAATACATATAAATGGATTTGAAGAGGAAAATATTGGTTCAAGACTCTTTTTTCCCAGCAAGCGAAGAATCGCACTCATATCCAAGGACATGTCAAAAGCTGAAAAGTTTGCAAGGTACTTTGGGAGATACAGCTTGGCTAGATCGACTGGACTGCTGACTTTGTAATCGTACATGGTTTTGTCCCCTCCATGTACATCAAGATTGCCATTAATATTTTCAAATTCCAAGGATTTTATAATAGGTCTAAGTCCGGGATCACTTGTGGGACTTGGATATGTTAAAGTGCTTAGACTGCATGGTGGTGTCAGAGCCTTCAATTGTCCATCGAGGGATGTATAATGTTTATCCATTCCTTGCTTGACATAATCTCGCAACACTGGAGCAACAATCTTGTTCAAGCAAACCTGGACACAAAGCATTCTCTGTTCCTCATCAGAGACAGACATCTTTAACGACGCTTTCAAATTCTACTCCACACTTGACAGATCTGTAGGAAAAGAAAAAACACAAGAAATTAGTCACATAAACAGACAATGCTAGAACAAAACTACGAGCTAGATGCTTCTTTTAAACAATTGGATGGCAGGCTCGGGATTTCTATATATTAGCTCATAGTTTGCAAGGTTTGAAGCACTGAGCCAGTTATCAAAGTCAAATGAAAGTGAAAGCGAGCCATCTAGCTAATAACCCTTTTGAAGATTAAATTATCTAATTTACACAATACAATAGTTATAATCTAGATAGCATCTCAGGCAATAGGCCACATTCGATAAATCAATATTCTAACATGGCTAGAAGGCTTTCAGAACAAACCTCTATATTTGGTGGTGCTTTCTTTGCATCCATTTCTTTTCGAAATTTAGGGATAAAAGAAACTTACATGTAAGTGCTACTAACCCCAAAAGTTTTTTTTTCCCTTTAATAAAATCTACTAGTTTCCCTGATTACTTCAGAGAAAAAAATCATCAAGCTTAAAATGCAATGGAGTCGAAGTCCACTCCTGCCTACTTCTTTAGATCAATGATTGAAGAGAGTGTTAAGATAAGAGATCAGCAGAGTTGTCAGAGGATTGTTTGAACTCAGAATAGTCAGGTGGCTTCCAGCTTATCCCAAATTCATGCCTTATGCAGTAGAGCTACCTTGACAATATCAAGCTTTTCACTATAGATAGAGAAGAATATACAGGCCATGAAAGGCTCAAAATTTTCACAGAAGCGGCGAACCCAAGATCGAAGAAATCCTCAATGGCTCCGCGGCGTTAGCTTCACACAGATCAGCCCACTTCTTTGGTCTTTTTCGCGTTTCTGGTAGAGTTTCATCGAGATAGAGATATTGAATGAAGAGGAATACTCTATCCTAAACATCTTGTACTGCTACAGCCTCGTAAAACACATCTTTCTTGCATTCTGCAACGATTTTGAAACACACCATTGCATGTTCGCATAATATTCTTCTCAGGAACAAAACCTGAAATGACGCTAGAAGCCAACTCGTCCCTATCAAACAAAATCTTTTATCTAGAATGCGTTTTACATTTACATTACTTTTACGGGAAAAGATGAAGTTGAAGCCATTTCAAAGATTGGCCAGCTCCCAGTGAGCTCTGTTGATATTTATCAGTAGTCAGAGTAGTTGGAAATTGGCGCTGGCCCACTAACCAATGTGAGCATGGGGTGAGTACAAATCATCGATCACTTGCCCATTTGTCGAGTACAATTTTCATATTTGAGAAATTGTTTAGGCTTAAATATTGACAACACTCTTTTTTATTTTCCATTTTGCTTGCTAAGAAACGAATGTCACGAAGATTTTTCTTGAAAAAAAAACTGCTTCAAAAGTTTAAGTGCATCTGTTGTAATCTTTGACTTTTAAATCTTTTAGTATAATTTCTCAAAGGAAGGAAAAAATATCCGTTTTCCATGTACCAACAAGTTGATTACTAGGACTTGTTTCTAAGGATATACGTGAATTCGATAATGCCAGCTGCTCGTTTACCTATTTTTCAGTTAATTAAAACTACGAAAACCGTTAATTAATGTGGGAAATTCGATGGAATTTCAAACGTTTTCACTAAAAAAGTTAACATTAAAAAGCAATGACGTTTCGACCGCTCGACGGTCATTTTCAAGTTGAAAAGTAAAATTTTTGCATGGGCCCAAATATATACAATCGATT